CTGGTCCCCACGGCCCGCTTCTACCCGCTGCGCATGCACTGCGTGCGCACCCTGACACTGCTCTCGGAGAGCACGGGCACCTTCATCCCCGTGCTGCCCTTCATCCTTGAGGTGAGCAGGTGCTCAAGGTGGGGCGGAGGGTGCGGGAGGGAAGACGCCTCCTGCCGCATGTGGCCCGACCACTCCTCAACTCGGTGCAGCTCTCCTGAGTGCTGGCTCTTTGCCCGTAGCACACGGGTTGTGAGGGCGTTAACTGTGTGCGGTGCCTGCCCGATAGGCAAGAGTGGCACCGCAGGCGAGTACAGCTGCTGCGCTGGGCTGGCCCGAGGGCGCTGGTTTTAGGGCACAGACTTGGGTCGATCTGGGTGTTTCCGCAAGATTAGAGTGAGCGGCGGAGCTGGGCTGAAAGCCCCGTCTGATTCCAAAGCTGTGTTCCCTTTGCTGCCTTTGTGCATGTGTACCTGTGTGTATACGTGTGCACATAGCTTAGGTAGGGAGAGGTTTCAGTCCAAAGGCTAGAGGTCCACTAGGGCCGGGACCAGGCTGTGGGGATGCAATCGTGGGTGAGGAAATTGCAGTGATGGTGACCCTGTGCAGGAGGGACCCTTCTTTGTCTCCAGACACTGGTTCTCATGTTTTTCTGGCCCGGTTTCAGGAGGGGGACAGCAGCAGTGTGTAAGGGTGTGGCCTGGTCCTGCCCCATTGACCAGGGCCCTGCTCTAGGGCAAAGGGACTCCCTTGGGGACCAGAGATCTGGAGCTGTGCGGGGAGGGGCTGGTGTCTCTGAGGCCGCGGGGCTGGCACTGTGTCTGGCCACTTGTCCTTGGTCTCAAGATGGGTCTCCAGAGACCCAGGGTAATGGGGTGGGCAGGCTAGGCTGACGGGTCCTTGGGGCAGATTTTCCAGCAGGTCGACTTCAACAGGAGGCCGGGGCGCATGAGCTCCAGGCCCATCAACTTTGCTGTGATCCTGAAGCTGTCCAAGGTCAACCTGCAGGAGAAGGCGTACCGGGTGAGCCCAGCCTCCAGAGGGGTCCGGGAACGCCCTGGGCGGGGTCACGGCAGGATGTCGCAGGGCACCGAGGTCAGCGTGCGGGGTGACTGGAGGTAGACGAGTGTGGATGGGAGAAGGCCCGCTGCCCTCCAGGCTTGAACCTTGTGGGCCTCCCGGGGCTGGGTAGCCTGATGAGCCTGAGCCCGAGTGTGGCTCCGAGGTCTGAGCTCCCCTCTGCCCTGACACTGTCCGCTCCCTCGCTGCCTCAGGATGGCCTGGTGGAGCAGCTGTACGACCTCAGCCTGGAGTACCTGCACGGTCAGGCCCACAGCATTGCATTCCCCGAGCTGGCGCTGCCCGCTGTCTTGCAGGTGTGTGCCCGCTGCCCCCCGCCCGAGTCCCTCCGTGGGCCCAACCCCTCAGCAGACCAGACCGCCTCCTGACGGGCTGGCGCCCCTCGCGTGGGGCCAGAGCAGGGCAGCCCTGTCACAGCCGCACAGGGCCAGTGGCAGGGCCTGGTCAGCTCGGGGGTCTCTGTGCTGGCACCACCTGGCAGCTGGGTCCCCGGGGCCGTGGTGTTGGGGTACATGCCTGGGTGTGGAGCCTGAGGAGGGCGCTGGCCCGGGTGCGTCAGGAGGACCCCGGGACCTGTCAGCCCCTCTCTAGCCTGCTACAGCCCAGGGCCTGGACCAGCCGTGAGGGCTCCCGGGGGTGTTGGGGCTCAGCAGGCTGCACCGGCCCGCGGCTCTGGGCCGGGCTGGTCTCTCTGCATGCTTTCCCCGGTGCTCCTGGGCCGGGTGAGGAGGCAGGAGACGCTAGGGGGTCGCAGGGAGCCCTGGCCGCCCACCTCAGCTTTTCTTCAGGCGACATTGGGGGTGGGATGGGGGGGTCTTCCCTCTCAGAAGCCCCTTGGAGATCCGTTTACTTTCAGCCTAGGTGTTTCTCATTTCAGGGAGGCCTGTGCCCATCTGGCCCTGGTAGTGAGTGGGGCAGGGTTGCTCAGACATAGGTGTGTGTGCGTCGTTCTCTCTCTGAGTCTTGGGGATCATGGTCTAGAAGAGGGTCAACAAACGTTTTTGGTAAAAAGTCAGATGGTAGATATTTTAGGCTTTGCAATCACGGGGTTTCTCAGTCCGTTCAACTTGCCCGCAGAAGTGCAAAAAAATTCACAGAAACGCAGGAACGAAAGAGTGTGCCGTGTGCCAGCACGACTTTATTTACGGACAGGCAGCAGGCGGGATGTGGCCTGGAGGGTGGATCCATCCTGCCCCTGCCCACCCCTCTGCCTGGCCCACGGGGTTGGTGGTCATCCTCCCGTCAGCCCTTCGACCCCCACAGGTCTCTAAGGGCTGGGCCATAGAGTCACGCAGCCCCCGCCGCCCCCCACACACACTTGCACTGGGGCTCCCCCCAACCTCAGGTGCGTCCCCCAGGGCTCTGAGACACACGAACCCATGACCCGCCCCCGCCTGCCTGTGGTCACCACTTGCAGGGTGCAGAGTAGCCTTGTGCCTGGGGCTAGGCTGAGCTCCCCTTCTCCTGCAGCTGAAATCCTTCCTCCGGGAGTGCAAGGTGGCCAACTACTGCCGTCAGGTGCGCCAGCTGCTCGAGAAGGTGCAAGAGAACGCAGAACACATCCGCAGGCTCCGCCAGAGGGTCTCCTTCGGCGTGTCCGACCAGCGCGCAGTGGTTAGCTGGGGGCTGGTGCCGGGGCCCGGGGGCCACTGGTCAGTGTGTGGCTGAGGTCTGGGGCTTTGCCCGGGGTGGGACATGACCCTGGATCTCCCTGCACAGGATGCCTGGGAGAAGCGGACCCGGGAGGAGGGGACCCCGCTCACGAAGTACTACAGCCAGTGGCGGAAGCTGAGGGACCGTGAGATCCAGCTGGAGATCAGTGGCAAAGAGCGGGTATGGTGGGGGGGTGTCGGGGATGTGGGCACGGCTGGGAGGATGTCAGCGGGGTCGGTGGGTGCTGCCCCCAGCCACCCTAGCTGCACCGACTGCTGGCGCTGCCGATGCTCTGAGGAGGTGGATGGCGGGCAGAACCGGGGAGAGTGTGGGGGCTTCTCCCACGACCCTCAGGTGGAGAGGCCCCAGGGCTGTGCTGGGGCAGAGGCTGCTGCCCCTCAGGCCTGACGGGCTGGGGCTTTTGGAGGAGTGCTGGGCTGACCCTGTCACCTAGGCCAGCCTGTGGACACCAGGAGGGCCAGCAGGGAGGTACAGGAAGAGTTCTAGCTCTGTCTTTGGGTCTGGGCCTGATCGGTGGGTGCGTGACGTTGTGACCTGAGGGGACAGCTTCGTGCCAAGCGGCATGACTCTCTGCATCCCTGTCCTGGTGTCAGTATGGGCAGGCCATCTGTTCTGGGAGTGATGGCTGAAAATTAGGGAAGGAGCATGGTTGGAGCCTGCAGCTTTGATGTCACTTAGCGGCCTCCTCACTGGCCTGGTAGGGCGGCTGTCCAGGGAGCCTACCCAGTGATGCCGACCAAGTGTCCCAAAAGTGGCCAAGCGGGGTCCTTGCATGGGGGTGGGGGCTGGAGGCTAGAGGAGTGCCTCATGGGGTAGGAGGGTGCAGGACTGGGTCTGGAATGTGAGTCGGGCTTGGGCTTGGGCTGTGGCCAGTGGGCAGGCAGCCCTGAGAGCCCACCCTCACCTGCAGCTCTGGGTCCCTGTCCTTCCAGCTGGAAGATTTGAACTTCCCAGAGGTAAAGCGCCGCAAGGTGGCGGACAGGAAGAGTGAGGACAGAGCAGAATTCAAGGACCTCTTTGATCTGGACGGCGCTGAGGACGCCGATGCCTCCCCCGACTTCCCAGAGAGAGGTGGGGCCCCCAGGCCTTGTGTCACCCCCTCCCACCACCACCTTTCAGGGCAGTTCTGGGTCCTCTGAACAGAGGAGACCTAAGGGAAAGTGGGGTCCAGGGCTGTGCCCCGGCCCCCGTCCTGCCTTAGCTGCCCCTCTGTGCGTTTGCTGGTGGGTCCACCCCCATGGGCTCTTGTGCTTGGTCCCCAGGGACGCCTGGGTCCCCAAGAGCTTGGCAGAGGGTGGAGGAAGTCAGCGGCTCAGAGGGTAAGTGGTTCCTGAGAGCGTGGGGTGCCGTGGTTTTTGAGCCCATCTGTCTGGGGACTGAGACTGTCATGGGGGATCTGGTGGGTGGGCAGGGCCATCGGCTCTAAGCTGGGCCCACGCACTCCCCCCCCTCCCCCACACACTGGGCCAGCTGCTCCATCCCCGCTGGCTCTGGCCCCCAGCAACAGCAACAGCGATAAATTAATTAGTGCTGTGATTAATTAGTGATGAGTAACCTCCCAGGCTGGCTTCTTCCTGATAAAGCAGAATTTATGTAGCTGTGCACTCTCCCTGCAGATGGAAGCCCAGACACAGAGGCGGGGCCGGACCCCCAGGAGCCGTGGGGGCTGGCCCAGGGGCCGGAGGATGAGCTGCAGGATCTAGAGCTCTCCGAGGATGAGGACGAGGATGACTGAGGGCTGCCCGCCTGGAGCCTTGTGGGGGGCTGCTGCATGGCGTTCCCAAGCTCACCAGGCAGTCAGGTGTGCTGCTGCGGCTGAGCCGAGGCCCTGGGGTCCGTGCCCACGCAGGGCGTAGATGGTAGATAGGGCTTTATTTTTACAACATAAGAAACCAGAAAGGACCAAGTGCTGTTCCAAGTCTTGGAGTGGCGGCCGTGGGGACGTAAACCACCATGGGGCTGGCCTCCTGCCGTAGCTTATGGTGGCGGGTGAGACGCACCTACCCCACGAAGGTGCCGACCTGGAGTCGGGCTCTGCCCGGCGTTGGCGCGCAGTCATGCCGTGCGCACGGCCGACGCTGCAGGGCCTGGGGTGCGCCTGCGCCTTCTCCATCTCTGCTTTGTCCGCAGCCACCCAGCGTGCAGCGCCCCCGCCCCGGGCCTGGGTTCAGTCCCCGCGCGGTCTGCACCGGGCCCTGCAGGCACCCCCAGAGAGTCTTCGGAAACATTCTTTTCCTCTTAAATCATGTGTTTTCGTTTTAAAAATTGTGTTTTTGCATCCAAAACCGAAAGGAGGATAAGCTGTGGGGTTGGGGGCCTTTGCCAGGGAGCAGCCGGCAGTGAAGGATGGGGGGTCTGACACCAGCTCAGCACAGAGGTTGGGAGGGGTCCGCGGGCCCTGGGAGCAGAGCCATGGTTCCATTCTCCTGCTTGGGTGAGGCTCGGCTGGCAGGGGGCTGCGCGCCCCCATAGGGCGAGGGGGCCGGTGCTGGGGACAGGGGCTGCTCCCCCGAGTTGAGCTCCCTCTCAGGAACCCGCAGTGTTGGTGGCTGCAGCGGCAGAGCCACGGGGAAGCTGGCCATGTAGAAGACTCGGCCCAGGCGCTTGGCCACCTGTGGAGAGACGGGCCTGGATGGGGCCTGCGGGGCTGCTACCGTGCAGCCACACGCAGAGCCTCAGTGCTGCCCTTCCGTTGTCTGGAGACCACTGCCCCCAGCAGGCGCTCACCTGGGCCCGGATCTTGAGAGCAGGCCCCAGCTTCAGCCCCATGGTGGTCAGGAGATGTTCCTCTGTCAGCAGGGGCAGGGTCTCCCCGTCAATCCCCTGTTCTCTGAAGACCTGGGGGTGGGGGGCACAGTGTTAGGGCATGAATGCCAGGGCTGTGTGTCCTGGGGTGGCCTCAAAGCTCTCCAGAGAAAGCAGAGCCAAGAGGAGCGGCTGGCGCAGCTTGCAGGAAAAAGCGTCAGATGAAAGTCTCCTGCGTGTTAGGCACGTGTCCCACCTTGGAGGCGGAAGCACTGACAGCAAGCACTGACTGGGGGCACTGGTGCACACCCCACCCCCGCAGTCTTTGAGGAGAAACTTGGGGTGGGAAGCAGCGCTGGGTAGCGGGGGTGCTCAGACCATCCTGGGCGGGGCCCCTCACCGGTGCATATTCTCCGCAGCCGGACAGGCCGCCCACAAAGCTGCAGACGTCGTCCACTGTCCACTTGCTGACATCCTCGGGCGCTGTGGCCCCCTCCCCATCCATGAAGAGGCCCCCCGTGGCGCCTGGGTTGGGGGTAGAGTGTTACTGGGACTCTGGCCAGCTCTTTCCTATGCTCCCACCCCTGTCTGCTGACCTTTGCTCGCCCTAATTGTTCAGAAATGTTGGACTGATGACGGAAAGGGATCTTTCTCCCGGTGGACGCCCTCCCTGAGACCCTGGGTGGGGGATGGGGGACTGGGTCTCCTTCCACCCCATGGAGGGATCTAAAGGCATGGCGGGGGTGCCCACCTGTGTGGAAGTAGGGGCTGACCGTGTAGGGCAAGCCCAGGGGCAGTGGAGGGGGCAGCATGGACCCTGAGGCAAGCCCCTTCCCCTCAGAGCTGGCCCCTCCAGTTGGGCCCTGGCCCCCAGCAGCCACCATCTCGGGGTCCTCTCCGTCTGAGTCCTTGGGGGGCTCATCTTCAGAGCCGTCTTGTGCCCAGAGCCCAGCCCCTGTGGTCTCCTTGGGCTCACTGGGCCGGGCTGAGGCAGGGCTGGGGCCCCCCTTCCGAGGAGCTCGGCGGGCAGGCTCCTGGGGCGGGGTGGGGGGACCGGGGCCCGGGGGTCCCTGGGGAGGCAGGGCCAGCAGGGGCGCAGAGCTGTGTCTCAGCACCAGCATGGCCCCGCGCCGCCGCAGCTCCTCGGCACCGTCGGGTGGGCGCAGGGCGGCCTCGGGTGCCAGCAGCTGCGGCCGGTGCGCGCTCTCCAGCTCCTTCTGGCGCAGCAGCTCTGCTGACATCTCCAGCCTGGCCGTGGAGACAGACCGCAGAGTATCAGCCAGCTCGGCAGTGACACTTCCCGCCCCGCCGCCCCACCCCCGGCTGAAGCACCTACCGGGCCAGGTTCTGCTTCCGCAGGAGCTCCTGCTGCCGGGCGAGCATCTCCGCCTGGGCAGGGGGCAGGAAGCCGTAGCCTGGTGGGAAGGGGACAGACCACGAGGCCGGGTGGCCGAGTGGTCCAGGGCCACCCAAGCCCGCCCTGGTCTGTCCTTGGCTTCCATAGGGGGAGGGGCGGGTTCGCCGGGAGCACTGATGGACACGCGGTCTGTGACAGACGAACCCGGATGGCCCCGCACCAACAGCCCCACCCCAACCTCCGGGGCACAGAATCGCGCACCAGCCTACTCCTCACCTGGGGTCTGGCACAGGGCCGAGGGCACCCCCAAAAAGGGGGGCCTGAGGTGGGGGCCCAGAGCGATGTGGGGGGCATTCTGGGGCGACAGCAAGGGGGGCGGCTGCGACAACTCCCTGTGGACAGCAGGGTGGTGAGCCGCGCGCGCCGCAGCTTCGGGCCCCCTCCCCGCGCGCCCCCTTCTTCCCGGAACTGCCGCCCCCCGCCCCCGCGGCCCCCAGCTCCGGCCGCCTCTGCTAATTGCCGGCCCTGCGGGCGGTCGACGTGCGCCCGCCGCGGCTCGGGTCGCCTCCGCCCCCGCTGGCGGCGCCAATTAATCTCGGCGGCGGCGCGGAGGCGCTGGCCCGGCGGGCGGCGGCGACTGTGGCGGTAATTACCGCGCAGGGGCCCCCGCCCCCGCGGCCCCTGCCCCTAGCCGACCCTGCGCGGACGCGGCGCAATTAGCCGCGGTTCAGGAGGCGGCGGCTGCAGCCAGAAACTCGCGGGCGCGGGCGCGGGCGCGAGGGCGGCCTCCCGGCGGGAGGGGCAGGGAGCCTCCGAAGTCCTTCAGCCCCAGCCCCCTCCTGGGGTCTCCCGGCCCCTACAAGCCCCGGAGGCCTCGCCTGTGCGGCCAGCGGCTCCGGTGTCTGAATCGGTACTGCTGGGGGGCTCTCCCCGCCCCCAGCTCTCCTCCGACTTCGGGGTTCCCAGACCTCGCACTGCCCCCCCTCCTCTGCCTCAAGACCCCTCACCTACCTGTTAGGGGAACAAAGCCCTCAGCTGTCTCAGGGGCACCTGGATTCAGCGGGCCCCACAGCTGCTCCGTGGAAACACACCCCACCCAGAGAGATGGTCACCCCCACACATTCTACCCCAGAAGTGTTCTGGGCCTCTGCCCGGCTGCCACCAACCGAGGCCCGAGCACAGTGCCCGGTTCACTCAGGACCCTGCGGCTGTACAGCGGCGAAGGGGAAGTGCGGGCTGTGGACCTCACATGCAGAAACCAGGTGATAGGTCTGCCAACCGCAGCTCTGTAGCCCCGAAACAAGCACAGGGAATGTAGGGGTCTCTCTGAAATGCAGGCACCCCGATACCTCTCTGAGAAGGACGGGGCGCCAGCTGGGGCGGTGACGTCTCGGTGCTGAGCCAGGCCCTGCTTCCGACGCTGACCTGCTGTGGATGAGGGCAGGTGGACTTCCAGGCCGCTGGGGCTCCTCGCGGCTGCCGCTGCCACTTCCTGCTGGACCCTCAGGAGATCTGAGGAGGGGGCGGCAGCAGCAGTGACCCAGAGGCCAGCCCCCACCAGGCCCTCACGTCCCCCACACCCTGTAGTACACTGGCCAAGGACACGCAGACCCGGAGCACATTCTCCCACCGACCCTGCTGGTTCGTCACCGGGACAGAAAGACGAGTAGAAGGCCATGGGGCAGGGCCGACACCAGACATCCCAGTGCAAGGCCCGCTGGTGGCACCCACCGGTCTTGGGAGGGGGGCCAGGTGGGCATTTGTAAGGAGTATGGGGATGTCAGGAACAAGAAAGTGGTTGGGATGGAGAGAGGGAAAGGTCTCACGCAGGGGAGTCTGGTGGTGCAGGAACCAGAGTTGAGACTGCCGAGAGCAAGGCTGCAGGGCCCGTGAGGGGAGGGGTCGTGCAAAGGCCCCAAAGTGAGGGCAGTGGGACCTGTCCAGGAGTTGGGGCGGGTCTCCAACCCCCTCCTAGGTAACACCCGGGCCCACTGTGCGGCCTACGCACTCTGCTCCCCACCCCTGGCCCTCTGTCCTGCTCAGGGCCGGACCTCACAGTCCCCCCCCGCAGCCCCCCCACTGTGCAGCCTCCGCCGCCACCGCCTGTTTATAAATTAATTACCCGAAAAGCGGAGGTGGGTCCTGCCCGGGGCCGGGTGCCAGGCCGCAGAGCCCAGCCGGCGCGGCCGCCCGCATCGATCCCGATCCCGGCGGGGCCCCGCGCCCCCGCCCGCCCGCGGCCTGGGTTATTTACCGTCGGCTCCGGGCGGGGGCGGCGGGCGGGGGCCTGATTGACAGCCCGACTCCGCGCCGCTCCCCGCGGCCATCGCCCCTCCCCGTGCAGGCCGGCGGAGCCGGCCCCAGGCAGGGCAGGGAAAGCAATTAAAAAGGAAGATTTTTAAATTATTAACATTTGGTGAATTATTCAGGCTCTCGGTGCCTGACTGCCCTGGGGGACAGTGCCTGTGTAAGGAGAGGAAATCCGGCCCGTTTTCCCAGCACCCTCTCACCCAGTTCCAGCCAGAAAAGGCAAGCCCCCGGCCCCAGCCCCCGGACTGGGGTCTGCAAAGCTCGGGTGCAGCTGGACAGGGTGCTGGACTGTGCCCTCGCGGTGGCAGGGGGGGCTTCCAAGCGTCCCATCTGGGAGCCGGGTGGGATGGGCATGGCGCCTCTGGCCGGAGCGCCTTCTGAGCACTGGTGAAGGCCGGGCGGCCAAACCTGAACCGTCGCCCATCCTGCTTCTGGACGGACGTCCACAGTGGACGTTCAGGGGCTGACTGCTGCCCCGCTCTTGGCCTCCCCGAGGAGGGGCCTGGCACTCGCCAGACGGAGCCATCCAGACCAGGGGCCACAGGGCCCTGCGTGCACTGGGCCTGGGGAAACCCCCACCTCCCACTCTCGCGTGGGCTCCCGAGACTTAGCTTCCTCATCTGTGAAGTGACAGTGGCCAGTCGAGGCCCAGTTGGGAGAGTCTGTGGGAGACCTGTTGAGGGGGGACTCCCCCAGATCCACCCAAACAAGCGGCTGCTGGGGCAGAGGGAGGAGGAGGGTGGGCCTCGTTGCCCACCTACAAGGGCTTTCGAGGTTTGAGGGGCCGAAAGACCGGCATCCAATCCCAGCCTTGGTGTCAGCAGCCATAGACCCCAGGACCTCTTTGCAGGGTGAGCAGAGACCTCTCGGGACAGGGAGAGTCTGGTGCACGTGGTGGGCTCTCATGCTGGGGAGGGGCTACATACCATGGCCGGGGAGGCCCAGGTGGTAGAGACGCTGAGGGTCCTCAAAGGTGCCGGCCTCACTCAGGGCGGACACCAGCCGGCGGTAATGGTCCTCGGGGGCCATGCCGGGCCCTAGTTCCGGAAGCAATGGACCCTCTGTGTTGGGCAAGCACAGAAGAGGGGGTCTTCCCCTTCAGATACAGCCGAGGGGGAGAGGCAGGGGCTCCCCTCTTAGAACCTGCTGCTGTGCTGACCCTGCCCTGCAGAGGGTCCGGGCTGTCCCCCTTTCTCTCCAGTGCCTTTGCCTCCACCCCCCGGGGGTCGGGCTCACACCTTGAGGGGACTTGCTTCGGGCCTTCTTCTCCGAAGGGCAGTCACCGCTGACGTGGGGGGAGCGACCCAGCCTCTTGCCCAACAGGTCACCTGGGAGAGGGCAGAGTGAACCCCGCCCTGCCTCTCAGGGCTCGTAGGGGCCAGGGCGGGAACAGCTCAGGCCCACCCCAATACCGGCCTCAGTCCCAGCCCAGCTCCAGCTCAGCCTGGAACCACACCCCTCATTCCTCAGGGGTGCCTGTGGGTCCTGGCCAGGTTAAAGCCGTGCCCAGCCTGGGGTCCCTCATGCGGGGCTGGGACAGGGCGAGGGCCTGGGACGGTCCAGACCCTGGGCTCTGGACTGTGTGTGCATAGATACGATGGGAGATCCACAGCTACGGCCTCAGGTAGCAACTCGGGACCCCACAGGTGCCATGCTGCCCGCACCAGCCAGACTAGTCTCTGCAGGGTAAGGAGCCTTCCTCAGCACCCTGATTTGACTGGACACCAACCTCTCCTCCTAGGGTACGGGTGAGGACCGGCAGTGCAGGGTCCCGTGCCAGGGTACCCAAAGCTCTTCCTAGAGGCCACAGACCCCGGCACACCTGCCACACCCATTCTTCCTGGGCCCCTGCCCCCAGGCCACATCCCTCACTGCCCCCAGAAAGCCCGAGCCACCACCCTGGCCTGGCCTGTCACACACATGCCCACCTGCCCGGCTGGGCTAAGCCCCCAAGGGCACCAAGCAGCCTCACCCACTGCGTACAGCCCCTCACGTGGCCCAGGCCCCGCCCCAGCCCCCCCCCCATCCTGAAATCCTCTCTCAGGTCCCACATCCAAACCATACTCATCCATCCCAGCCCCTGCACCCAGACGCCAGGCTCCCTCCCGAGCCCAAGGCCTGGGAGGTCTCTGCGGAACAGCTCAGCAATTGGCTGGGTCTCCTGGACCCACCACAGTTACCTACCCTAACCCACCACAGTGCTGGCTTCCCGTCCAGACCCCGTGCTCCTGGCCCCCTCTCCATCCTCACGGGGCTCTGGGTGGGTGAGGGGCCCGCCGTGACACCTTGGCAAGGGGAGCTCCCGAGAAGCCCGGCCGTCAGCTCCAGAGCCTCATCCCTTCTCCTTATTCCTTTAATCTGTCATTTTTATCAGGTGCGGAAGTGCACGCAGATCAATCTGCACTTTACAGCTGACAGAATGGTGCTAATAACTTATTGATCTCGGCTACCTCCTGCCACTGGCCGGGGCCCAGGGGCCTAGCCCCAGGCCTTGCCCCGGGAGGGACGAGGGACCGCCCAGACGAAGGGTCCTACCTCAGTGACCTAGCAGGATGGGTGGGGGGGGGTGCTCAACCTGCACAAGGCCCCTCGGGAAGCCAAAGGGTCTCCGGCCAGCAGGGCCAGCAGGGCTGCAGTGTCCAGCTGTGCCAGGCGGGAAGGTGGGTCTGGGCTGGGTCCACACCTGCTGCCCGAACCCCACCCTGTACGCACGCCTCCTGGACCCAGAGAACGACCCAGGGCTCTCACCTCCCTGCAATCTGTTTCCCATTTTCCACGCTGGGGGTGGGGCTCCTCTCTGCCTGGGAGGGGGTGCGGGGGAGCACCTGACTGTGGGGGGGGGACCCACAGTGAGAACCAGGCCCATGGCCGCAGGGGGCTCCTGCCGTGGGGGTCTGAGGCTCACCAGGCCCTCATGAGGCCACATCTACTCACAGGCACACCCGGGGCAGCCAGAAGCAGACACACACACGGTCGCCAGAGGTCTGCAGGGCCGCCCCAAGCCCTTTCCTCCTGACCCTTCCCACCCGGGTAAGAACAGGACTGACACGTGCTGCTGGGGCCGAGGAGGTGAGGGCGGGCGAAGGCCTCCACCCAGGGGCCGGCCGCAGGACGTGGGAGCCGCTGAGAAGTGGAGTCCCGAGAGGAGGGCAGGGCTCGGGCGAAACCTGGACACACGTGGTGCCTCATGCAGACCACGTGGGACCCCCGAAGTGCTCATATGCGGGCCCTGCACCTGAGCACAAAGAGTGAGGGCACCCTGACACACGCTTGTCACACGGGCGTGAGTGGATACCCAGGGCTCTGGCCGGGTCCGGGGCGCACACGCGCACTCAGGCCACGCACCATGGGGAGGACTCCACGTGTGCAGGCAGCAGGGGGCCTGGCGGCTTGGAATATCTCAACCACTGTGGGGCTCCGGAGGCTCCCCCGATTGATGGGGCAATTCGATTTTATCAGCCGCCTGCTCCGCCCCCAACACGGCTCCAGAAGCAGCACTCCCCCAGAGGCCTACCTAGGCACAGGCACACCTGGAGGCCCTGATGGGGGTACTCAGGTGTCCCAGGACGATGGACCATCCCCTGCCCAGCCTTCCTGAGAGCTGCAGCCACTGCTGGGAACTTCCTGGGTTTGCCCTGGTCCATAGGGCAGCAAGGGACCCCTGCCACCTCCTCTCAGCAACCCCCCCACACCTTCAGCCACAGCTCAGCCATACCGCCCACTCTCTGCAGTGGTGCCTCGTGGGTCCCCAAGTTGTCCCTCCCTCTGAGCTCCTGCTGTCACCAAGAGCCGCCCCTCCTCAGGGACAGAGCTCCTGGGCCAGCACCCTCCTGCCCCACCCCTGCAGAGGTCCAGGCCCCAGCCCCCCTTCTCTCAGGGCATGGCCCCCTTCCCTCTCGGGGCCCCTCGCTCTGTGGGGTCGGTGGGTACTCCGTGCGTGCAGAGCGTGTCCCTGCCCATCCGGGAGCCACTCCCAGGTGTGCACCTCGGAGCCTCCGTGAGGCCTGCCCTCCCTGACTGTCCTGCCTTCCGCTGCCCCTGGGGCCTCCGCCGCTCCAAGCCCCCTGCAGCAGCAGCCACGGTGGAGCCACCGCCTCCGCCTTCTGTCTGCACGGCTGGCCGGGATTAACACAATTACCATCACACAGAGCCCCGGGGGACAGCCGGCCTCGCCCCCTCCCGCCGCCTCCGCTGGCCTCCCTGGCTGCCCGCCAAGGCTGCTGGGGGCGGTGGCGGCACCCAGAGCCGACGGGCAGAGACGCAGGGAGGGCCGTGGGGCGGCCGTGCTCTCGCTGAGCTGCCTTGGCTCCGGCAGCCCCGTCCTCATCCCCCGCCACCCCCACCCCCCGCCGGCACTGCCCTGGCCCCTCACCTGCGGCTCCCAGGCCGACCTCCACGCTGCCTCTCTGGAATTCACAGCGGCTCTGATGCTCGGGCATAACGAGGTGGCGGCTGCGACGCAGGCTGGATATGAGGGTGGGAAGGTCGCTGTCCTGGCTGCAGCGAAGCAGACGGGGAAGGTGAGACCCGGTGGGGCTCCTGACTGAGCTCGCGTGTAAGCGCTGTGAGCATCTCCATTCCCTGGTGGGTGTGGGCTCTCACCCTGACCCACGCAGGCGCCACCTGGGCCCACCAGCTCCTGCTGAGTGTCTGCTGGACGTGGAGGCCTTGCCCTCAGACCGCACTGCTGCTCCCAGGGAGGGTCTGTCTGGAGTGCAGGGCTCGCCCTGTCCTGCAGTGCTCTCTCCAGAGAGACCGGCCACGGTGTCCCTGCCTCCTGCCTCGGGGGGCCTGCTCCTGGGGTGTAGGCTGCCAGAGGGGCCCAGCACTCACTCCTGTGCACGTGCTAAACTTGCAGTCACCCATGGACTCTCGATTTCTTCAAATAAGGAAACCGAGGTTGAGAGCAAAGTCTGCAGCCAATGAGGTGTGCGCGTGTCCAGGGACACACATGGGCGCACGCACACTCACCCAGGCCTGCAGACACACACAGACAGATGCGCACCGCGGTCCCCGGTGTGCCCGTGCTCAGGACACTCTGTTCTCTCCAGGGTTCCCCGCCAAGAACCCTGGGATGAACACAAATTTAACTTTGTTCCCTCATTTCTCTTACTGTCAAATCAGCTCAATGCCTGTATCACAGAACCCCAGAGAAAAGAGGGAGGGAATGGTCCCCCAACCCGTTTGCTCTTGGGGCTCTGAGAGCATCTCCCTTAGCACAGGGAAGGGCCACTCGCCACCTTGCAGATGCAGCCAGGAGTGGCAGGAAGTTGGGATACGACAGAAGAGGAGCAGGGACGGACCCCAGCCCGCCCTGTGACACCCCAGCGCTCCCTCCCCAGCACCCTCGCTCCCCAGCCCACCCTGTGACTCGCCAGCGCTCCTCCCCAGCACCCTGGCTCCCCAGCCCACCCTGTGACTCGCCAGCGCTCCCTCCCCAGCACCCTCGCTCCCCAGCCCACCTGTAACGGAGCAGCCTCCTGTCTGGGCCACTGCAAGGGGGGCCTCCACTGAGTGACCTGGGAACCAACCCTAAACCTCATTAAATAGCCCCCAGCACCCCTCCCCCCAGCTGGGTGGCTGGAGCGCGCTAATCCAGAGCTGGCCCCTAAGCAGATCAGTTTCAGCTCCGAAGCCTCCAGGGCTGGGCTCTAGAGCCTCTGGGAGACCCTGATGCAGGCTCTCTCCCACCCCCAACCCCCTTTCCCTGGAGGCGAGAAGGCCCCCGCCATGCAAACAAGAGGGCAGGTGGGGTGGGGATAAGTACTTTATGGGATTAATTGGCAGCAATTCTCACCCCCTCTATCATCCTCGTCGATGCGGGGCGGGGTGGGGGGGGGGGGGGGGGGGGGGGGGGGGGGGTGGAAGAGAGAAGTGCTGTCCTCAACACCAGGGAGGGGCGGTGGGTGCCTAGTGGCGAGGCTGCTGCCGCCATGGAGCTCTCCCTTGAGGGGACCCCCTTCTGGTGTCCCTAGGACTCCCGCAGGAGGGGGACCAACTCCCCAGAGACTGAGGAGTAGGGTCAGGCCCCATCAGTTTGCTCCCCATGAATCCTCAGCCGAGAGGACTGGGGCTGCCCCCCTCACCACCACCGTGGCCAACAGTGCTTTCACTCGTTGGTCATTCAGGCACGGGAGGTGCTGCAGCCCCAGGGAGGTGAAGCCTAGTGGGAAACAGGCCACAGTCCACCCACCAAACCCCTGCTCCCTGCCTTGGGGGTCTGCCCCATGGGCCCCAGGAAACCTGTGTGGTCACTCCCGTCATTCACTTTACATAAAGCCTGGTGTCATTCACGCCAGGCTTTATATAAAGAACCGCGAAGAAATTTTGTACACGCCAGCCTGAATACGTGTGAACCCTCAGACCCCGTCTCCCCGTGAGGGGCCCTCGGGTTCCTCCAGTGCCTGCTGTGCTGTCCAGCCCTTGTCCACCTCCGGGCCAGCTCAGGGGCCTCGGGAGGGCAGGGGCCACATCTCCTGCCTGCTGCCCAGGATGCAGGGGGCCTAATGGGGAGCTCCAACCAGGCAGGTGGTTCACTGCAGTCACGCAGACAGAGGGACGGGGACGAATGGACCGACGGATGGAACCGATGGACAGACAGACAGATGAAGATCGATGGATGAAGTCAGATGACCAGACAGACGGAGGTGGACAGACAGACATGGACAGGCGCTACTGGACCGAAAGAAAGGATGGCAACAGCAGACAAACAGATGGACAGAGCCTGAAGTACAGACAGCAGACTAGAGACAGAAAGACACATGGACAGGGCCAAAAGGAGCCAGGAAGAGACAAAGACAGAGCCGGGGTGGGGGCAGTGTGAGGCTGCTGGGCCGTGTGCTTGCCCAGCCCTCCCTGGCCAGACGCTGGGGTGTGCAGTGGGGGACTGGCAGGGGGGGGGCCAGATGGGCTGTAAGTCCTCTTGGCTGAGCCCCTCAGTCTCCCCTCTGGTAAAGTCCAGAAAATCAGCCCAGCTGCTCTGAGCGCCTGTGCCAGGCCGAAGGAGCACCCTCACACTGGGGCCTGGCCTCTTGCTAGGGGCTCCCTGCGTCTGGACACCTGGGCCCTCTCCCACATCCCATGGCCAGGTGGGGTGAGCAGGGGGCTACAGGCAGCAGAGGAGCAGCCTGGGATTTCCCTACAGGCTTCGCTGACAAATTTATCATGTAGCTTCCCAAGTAAAAGGCTCATAAAATGTCGTCAACGTTCATGACGGTTCATAAAAATGATCAGTTGAGTGGACAACTTCAAAATGAGGTGGAGATAAGTTTAAAGATGTTTTCATTGTAATTTGGCTCCAGGACCCAGACATTCTCAGAAATGTAAATAATAACACATCCGGGACTTCCCTGGTGGCACAGTGGTTAAGAATCCGCCTGCCAACGCAGGAGACACGGGTTCGAGCCCTGGTCCGGGAAGATTCCACATGCCGCGGAGCAACTGAGCCCGTGCACCACAACTACTGAGCCTGCACTCTAGAGCCCGCGAGCCACAACTACTGAAGCCCGCGTGCCTAGAGCCCGTGCTGTGCAACGAGAAGCCACCGCAATGAGAAACCCATGCACCTCAACAAAGAGTAGTCCCCGCTCGCCACAACTAGAGAAAGCCTGCGCGCAGCAACGAAGACCCAACGCATAAATAAATAAATAAATAAATAAATAACACATCTGGCACAAAGCCAGGCAGCAAGTGGGGCCACTCAGTGCTGGACGCCCACTGCCTGCTCGGTTGGGCCCTTCCTGTGCCTTCCCTGGAAGTGCTGGGCCAAGACTTGACCCCACTGAGCAGACACCACAGGCACCACAGCCTGGGCTCTGCCCACAGACTGTCCACCCCTGCCCTTCTGAAACGGGGGACTTGGGTCTCCCCAACACCCCCAACCTCCTCATCAGGTTCCCTCATTTTTATCTCCTTACTACATCTTGGATTGGCAGCCCCCTCAGCCTCTCTGCTTCCACCACGCCTGGATCACCATGGACTGGAGCAAACCCCCAACCTGCTGGGCGGGGCCTCCAGCAGGACCTTGTCAAAACATACACTGGTTACTCCCCTGCTCAAGAACTTTCAGTGGCTCCCCACTGCCTGAAGGACAATGCCAACAGTCCCAGCATCTAAGGCCCTTTAGCATCCAGTTGAGCCAGGCCTACCAGCTTCCCCTCCTCCCTTCTCACATCCCCTTCCCTCCCTCCTCCATGTCTTTGCAGACATCCCCTTTCCCTAGTGAACTCCTATGCATCCTTCAAGACCCCACTCACACATCACCATTCTCACATCCCAGTGGTTCTCTGGGAGGGTGGGAGGGGCTGGTCATGGCCTTAGCTCTGGGCAGATGGGCTTCAGTGTGCGAGGGGGAGCGCACTCTGGCTTCAGGGTTGGGCAGTCCAGCACCCACGGCCGTGCTGCTGTCACAGCCTAGGCACAAGTCAACAGACAGACAACGGACTAAGGGGAGGAGGAGGGGAGGGAGGCTGGAGAGACTTAGAAGCAGACCCAGGGGACGTGGAGCAAGAAGACTCTGTCCTGCGCATGCACAGCATGTGGGGGCAGCCTGGCCCCGGCCCGGCCCTACCTGCAGGACGTCTCTCGGAAGGAGATGTTCACATCCCAGTGGGTGTGGACTCTGCAAAGAGAGAAGCAGAGGGTCAGTGTGGCCTCCAGGACTCGGCACGGGGACAGCAGGACGTGTGTGTGTGTGTGTGTGTGTGTGTGTGTGTGTGTGTGTGGCACACCCTGTGTCTGCCCTGGAGCGCCAGCCTCAAGGGAACTGGGCTGGCTCAGAGCACGCTCAACAGGCCGGCGGCTGCCGCCAGGAGAGGCCCGCGGGGCAGAAGCCAGCTCCTGGCCTCACCAGACAGAGGAATCGGGAAGGGCAGAATTGAGAGCCCGAGTCTCTCCTTCTTGTTGCAGTGGAACCAGAGCAGCCCCCATGCTGTGCTGGGGGTGGGGCTGTGGCTTCCTCTGCACGTGTCACTCGTGTGACTGAACCCAACTTCCTAGTTGCTAGAGCTGCTCCGGGCAGGGAATGAGCCCCATGGCCACTGTCGGCTCCAGTGGTGGCCCCTGGGTCCCGGCTGCTGCCAACCTGCCTCCTGAAAGCGACCATCACGCAGCGGAGGCAGGCGAGGGCAAGAAAGGAAGCAGCTCTGCCCTGTGCCCACGCTCTCATCCCAGCAGCACCCCTGAAAAGGCCCTCGGGCTGATGGAGGGCAGTGGGAGGCCCACGTGGTGCTTCACCTTAGCACGGGTAGGAGTGGGGGCTGGCAGGGGGTGTGTGTCTCGGGTGGCCCAGACGGTTAGGGTCAGGGTAGGAGAAACTGGAACATGTTAAAAGACCAAGCAAGGGGCTTCCCTGGTGGCGCGGTGGTTGAGAGTCCACCTGCCGATGCAGGGGACACGGGTTCGTGCCCCGGTCCGGGAGGATCCCACGTGCCGCGGAGCGGCTGGGCCCGTGGGCACAACTACTGAAGCCTGCGCACCTAGAGCCCGTGCTCCGCAACCAGAAAAGCCACTGCGATGAGAAGCCCGCGCACTGCACCGAAGAGTAGCCCATGCTCGCCATAACTAGAGAAAGCTCGCGCAGCAATGAAGACCCAACGCACTCTTGATTAACTCACCAAGTACCAGCCTTTCAAAGTGAGACGTGAGGGCTTCTAGTGCACTTGGGGGAACTTAGGGTTGAGGGTCCACCTGCCGATGCAGGGGACACGGGTTCGTGCCCCGGTCCGGGA